CGCTTTCACTTGTTTCGTGTCATTTGAAGGTCATCCTTCGCAGAGTCAACATGAATGGTATTTATACAGCCAAGCCCTACGCTTGTCACCAGTGTGACAAATGCTTCGGACGGAAGTTTAATCTAGAGAGGCACATGGAAAATATCCACGTTGAGGAGGAATCAGACATGAATGAAGCTGACGAAAACTCGGATTCTGTTGAGGAGGTCGATGACGAAACCTCGGATGAAGAGAGTTCAGATTTGGAAGACAATGCTGCCTACCAAGATTGGCTGGCTGATGAAGCTAGAGAAACACATGGGGGATTAGGGATGAAAAATATGACAACTACGTCAACGAAGGCATGGATGAAGATCAAGCCAGGCAGAAGGCAAACAGACAGACCCTCTGGGCAGTCAAACAAGACATTTTCGACAACTATAAGGAGTTCCTGTCAAGTAACCTATATTTGAGGAAAAATGAAACTCACAAGGACATTGTGGATGATCTCGATGGAAAACTTGATAAAGGCATGAACGTCAACAAAGCCTTGAATAGAGTTTTGCCTAAACATGCTGAAAAATTTGCCGGACTGTTTCATGACGAAGAGGAGCATGCCTAAAAGATAACAGTCTGTAGAGACAAATTGTTCCAAAAATAATGAGTACATGTAATAACTCTGATTTCAAAGTTAACAAACTTCCGGTAATCACCCCGTAGTAATTCTTAAAATTACTAAGATAATTATTTAAAAAAAATCAGAGAAAGAATCAAATCTTCCCACCAAGTACACGTAAAAGGGAGAGGATGCTGAAGGACTTGTACGTACACTATCGAGGCTAACCCTGACCTTCGCATTCACGATGACGTCAACAACTTGCCCAACATGCATTTGAAGTCCTGCAAACCCTTCCGGTCCTCAGTCATATCTCTGGAAGACGTTGGCCCAAAGACTGAGAGACGCGCGCAGAACACGTTAAACCCCCAAACCAACAATGAAAATGTCATAACAGACCTTACGGTGAAACCACCCCGTTTGA